TTGGTAATGCTCAATCCCACATAGTATTGGAAACACTATTGGGAATTATATTTAAAGCTTGGCTTTCCCACTCCCTTGTTGAGTGATAGAGAACAAGGGGGACTATCGCGCGCCACCGCCGCCGTCCGTCTCGTGGTCGTGGTCATGGTCATGGTCGTGGTAATACATGTCTTCGACACGTCCGCGCGAATATTATCTTTTTAGAGAAAATTCTTAAGAAACAAATACAATACCACCAGTCGTTGCGAATTTGGAAAAAATCGCAACGCGAATTTAGAATAAATCGCAACGCGAACTTGGAATAAATCGCAACGCGAACTTGGATTATCGCAACGAATTTGGAATAAATCGCAACGCGAACTTCGACTATCGCAACGAATTTGGAATAAATCGCAACGCGAACTTCGACTATCGCAACGAACTTGGACTATCACAACGAATTTGGAAAATCTTAACGCGAACTTCGACTATCGCAACGCGAACTTGGACTATCGCAATGCGAATATGTAAATCGCAATGTGATAGTCGAAGTTCGCGTTGCGATAGTCGAAGTTCGCGTTGCGATAGTCAAAGTTCGCGTTGCGAATCTGGAAACTGATTTGCGATACCGGAGATCGCGTTGCGAATTATCGATCGCATTGCGATTTAGTTGGTCATTTTGATAAATATAAAAAAAATTAATTAAAATTGTATATTATAAGATATTTTATATGATTGAGTTTATTTTCTCAAAAAATAAATTAAAAGCCTGTCTGCATATGAACGGCTCAATAATACCCCTTCTCACTCGCCAATGACCTGCGCTTTCTTTTCATTTCAATAGGCCATTTTCCGGTTCTCTCTATCGCCCCTCCCGTAGCTGTAGAGAGACTATTCCTTTCTTCTTTCTTTCTCCACAAATTTTTTCTTATCTTCCTTTATACTCTTCTCTCTCTTATATAAACTCGGGGTAATAGAACAACAAAAATACAACCATATATTGGAAGATAAAAGAATAATACGATGATGAAGTTACCTTGTATGAGTTCTTTGTTGTTGGTTTTGAGTTTGGTTTCTGTTTTTGTTTCTGGGTTTGGAAAAAGGCTCCCAATTCTGTCATTTGATGAAGGGTATAGTCAGTTGTTTGGGGATGACAATCTAGTTCTCCATAGAGATGGTAAATCTGTTCATTTGTCTTTGAATGAGAGAACAGGTTTGCTTCCCTCCTGCTGGTCTCTGGTTTTGATATTTCTGGGTTTAGTTTTCCTTGTTGTTTTAGTAAAAGGAAAGAAAACTTCATTGCTTTGTTTATGGTGTAAAAACAGGGTCTGGATTTGTCTCTCAAGACCTTTACTTGCATGGTTACTTCAGTGCTTCAATAAAGTTACCCGCTGATTATACCGCTGGAGTTGTGGTTGCTTTCTATGTGAGCTCATCGTTATTCAAGATTAATCCTTTTTATCTCCTAATTAATTGTATTATAAGGAAGATTGTTTGAAGCTTAATCATTTCGCTACTGCTGTTAATTCCCTTTTTTTTTGAAAGTATTGATAATAATTATCTTTATGGTTCATCTTGGAGTTCTTATAGTATTTTCAAAATCGTATTTTGTTTTAGCTTTCTAGTCCTTTATAAGTTCTTTTTTTTTGGGGGGGGGGGTGGTTTTGTTCAGAAATCTGATCAACATCCAGATAGAAACAAATACCAGATAATTTTACCTTTTAATATAGGAACCCCCTCATTAATATTTTTTACTACAGATGTCAAATGGTGATATATTCGAGAAGAACCACGACGAAATAGATTTTGAGTTCTTGGGTAACATCAGAGGCAAAGATTGGAGGATTCAGACCAACATTTATGGCAATGGAAGCACCAGTGTTGGCAGGGAAGAAAGATACAATCTTTGGTTCGACCCTGCTGATGATTTCCATCAATACAGTATTCTCTGGACTGATTCTCAAATCATGTAAGTACAAGAAAAAAAGCATCTTTTGTGATGAGTATAATGTTGTCCCAAGTTTCTTGTTCTGTGTTTTTTTGAAGTTGGTTAATCTTTTGTTTGCAGATTTTATGTGGACAATATACCCATCAGAGAGTTCAAAAGAACAGCTGCGATGGGTGGAGACTTTCCTTTTAAGCCGATGTCATTGTATGCTACAATATGGGATGGGTCTGATTGGGCTACTAATGGTGGCAAATATAGAGTCAATTACAAATACGCTCCTTACGTTGCCGAATTCTCCGACCTGATCCTCCACGGTTGCGCTGTCGATCCCATCGAGTTTTTGTCCAAGAAGTGTGACGCCACCTCTCAAAGTTTGGAACTCTCTGCTACCAATACCATCACCCCATCACAGAGAAGCAAGTTGGATAGCTTTAGGAGGAAGCACATGACATACGCCTACTGCTATGACCAAACCAGATACAAAGTTCCACCCATGGAGTGCGCGATCAATCCCAAAGAAGCCGAAAGACTAAAAAAGTTCGATCCAGTCACGTTCGGAGGAGGCAGGCATCACCACGGGAAACGACACCATCAAAGCCGATCTAGCCGGTCCGAGTCCCATATCATCTGAAATGAATAAAAAACAGAGCATTATTTGATTACATGTTCAGGGCATTATTTACCTCTCCTTTTCCACTCAGTTTGGGGGTCAGTTTGGTGTATAGAGGAGCGGGGGAGCAACGGATTATATATATTTTGTCGATGTGGGAATGTGTATAGTTCCATTTTTATCGTTGGTGTTTGAATTTAACGACGATTTTATGTACTTCCTAAACACCCTCATGGGTTCAATAAGCACTTTTAATTTCTGATATATATTTTTAATTTTTTCACCTGCAACATCAAACATTGATGCATTTCAATGGGAAAAAGTTTGGGGTTATCTGTATGTCTGTATGGATATATGAATATTGGGACATTGAGACATAATGTCAAAAGGGTAGTTGGAATCCAAGGTGACTTTTTGTAGGACAAGTGGGTCTGGGGGAGCCTTGGCAGCAGGTGTGGACTTTTAATGTTTTCGTGTGAAGAAACGTGACTCTGTTTCTGGGGATGGGAAAATCTGAAGAAAAAAACCCAAGTCCATGAATATAATTTACTGTAGTTTGGGAATTTAAAAAAGGCAGCAATTAGGGCAGTTGGGAGTTCGTGTCATATTTTCACACAACAATTATAAACACTGATTTTTGGGACACAAATTACAATCATTAAAAAGTAAAATAGTTGAAGAAATTATATAAATAATTAAACTTTTGCAAAAAGGACTAAGCACCATCAATAAAAGTCTAGTTTATAATTTCAATTAATGGGTAAAGCCTAATAGGAAAGAGGAGTTTAGTGGTGGAAGTCAAAAGATTTAGGCTTAGTTTGTTTTTGTGTAATTTCTTCAAATCTCTTATATCTTCGTCGCGTAGATCACGCGTAGATATTAGGTTTCGTAGACCGTTTGTTTTTTAGAATATGTAAACTCTTCAAACGTATACGCAAGCTCTTTTTGGTGCAGACATAATTTTATATCTTCAAAGGTATGTAGGAAAATTAAAATAATTAAAATATATTTTAAAATATATTTTAAAATATAAATTGATTTATTTTAAAATATGGATTGATTTATTTTAAAATATGGAAAAATTTATTTTAAAATATGGATTGATTTATTTTAAAATATGGATTGATTTATTTTAAAATATGAAAAAATTTATTTTAAAATATGGATTGATTTATTTTAAAATATGAAAAAATTTATTTTAAAATATGAATGGATTTATTTTAAAAATTTTATTATTGTAGTTGTATGGATTATTTAAATTTCAGTATTATAAAACTAAAATTATTTAAATTTCAGTATTGCAAAACTCTTTTAAGTTTAAAAAATCAGTTTATTTTATATTTCAGTTTATTTTAGCAATCTGCAGACGTTAAAAAACAAACAATTTTCTTCTTGCAGACTGCAGACTTTTGGTTCACCTCTTCTGCTGCAGATGTCTGCAGATGTGGTCCGCAGACTGTAGACCTTTTACCTATTCAAAAACAAACACTACCTTAATCAAGGCAAGCACACGATATGGTGACTATAATTAAAAACTTATTAAAACAATTTATTTCATTTTCGTCTCACTTTTTAACTGAATAAGAAATATTAAAATTTATTTGTTTGGTTAGTTTTAACAATCCAAACCATATAATATTAAAAGTTGAGAAAAAATCTAATTTTTCTTATTGTTATTGCTTATTTTCTCTTTCGTCTTTGTTGATCGATGACACCAATTTTTCTTTTCACTTCTTATTTGTTTGTTTAGTATTCTTTATTGTCATTTTCTTTTTTTATATTACATCTCTACTTTCTTTTGTTTTTTTATTTTTAATAAGTTTGCATATATGACACATTTTCTTATTTCTTTTAGCATGCTTTTCGATTGTTCGATTTTTTTTAATTTATCTTTTTTCAAAGGTTGATATTCTCTGTTTTGGACCATCGAATTGGATTTGGATACCCAATTTACGTTTGTAGATAACTTTTCACGCCGTTCAAGTCTGATTTGTAGTTTGTCAATGGTCTTTTAATAAATCGATCCCTTTTGTGGTTCGTTTATTGATGCTATCAGTTCTATTTGATATCTCTCTTTGTTCGAGTTTATTGGTTAGAAAATTTTATAAATTTCATAGCTATCCAAAAGCAGCCCCACATAAAATCGTGTGCAAAGTTGATGGAAAGCTACATTTCACTTCCTTTTTCTGCATTTGCTAACAGAGAAAAAGGAATTCAAATGGGGTTTTATTAGGGAAGGGTAAACTCGATATCGTCTAAACGTATCCCAACTTTTCATTTTTCTTAATATATCTGTGTCTAGTATCATAGTCTGAACACATATTCCTAAATGAGCCAACGAAGAATTTACTACCCTACGCAAACACATACACGATCATCGAAGAAAGGATGCATCAGCGGCTTACTGTCCCATACTGATGCTTGATATTTACGACTGAAGGAATTGTGTTTAGAACATGACATCTAATCCCGAGATTCAGCAGCCTCTTTTCTCTCTACGAGTTTGATGAAATTACGAACAATTATTTTGCCTTCGGAAGTTATGATGCTCTCCGGATGGAATTGTAAGCCCTAAAGATTCGATCAGTGTGTTAACGAAAGTAAAAGAATCATATCTACTTCAGACATAGCCAAATAAAAGCGAGTTATATAAATAACTCGTTCGACTTATTTAAGGAAGAAGTAAACACATAACTTTCATGGTTTTAGATGGCACAAACAACCAGGACTTCTCTTTTTTGATTCATAGGTATAACGTATCGGAGGAAATCAGTTCCAGCATAGCAATCAAATCATTGAACCGATTCATTACGAGTTAAAATGGATGGAAACTTTACCTGAAGATGCTTATATACTTTGTGCCAAGCGGCCATAACCAGTCCATCTTCTGTCCAAGTGGTAACCTCGAGTGTTTCCTCGGGAAAACTGTCCTTGTCAATCACAAGACTATGATATCTTCCAGCATTGAAAGGGCTGCGAAAGGCAAGATATAGTAAGCGTTGCTGATAATTGGGGTGTAATTAATAAAAATAAATTGGAAATACTCTCACTTGATAAACATAAATGACAATTTTACTTAAAAGTTGAAACTTGTTAAGAGAAGAATGATGTTAAAGAATCTATACTCCAAAGGTGTAAAGGAAGATTAAGAAATAAATATGAATAATTTGATAGCTAGACTATAGATTAACACATAATTAAAGCAGAGTTCAAGAATTTTAAACCGCGAATCACATTAGAAGAATCAATTAGTACTTTGATAATCCAACGAATAATCTATCTTCCTGTCAACACACATTTTTCGTCCTATTAGGATTCAAACTCCTAAAAATAAGATAAAATTTTAGGATTCAAACTCCTAAAGATATGATAGAATTTTGCTAGGATTCAAAAAATAGGATAGAATTTTATGATTTAAACTCCTAAAGATAAGATCCACAAGCACTATAAATAGCTATTGTAACTCACCATTGTAAGACACTATTTACACACAAAACATAGAGGAAAGCATGAGAAGATACAAAGGCAAAGCTATTGTAAAGGATTCGAAAAGGAAATAAAAGGTATCATTTTCTTTTTTTCTTTCTTTTGCATGTGCATGTTATTTTTCTTGAGATTTGGTTCGAATAACCCAAAACGTGGGTTGTGCTGATGACCAAAATGGGTGGGGTTTCGAAGTTTCGAACCTAGATCTACCCCGAGGCTTATTTTTAAAAACCGGTTTGATTTTCGATTAAAGGAGGGGAAGAGCTTTTTAAAAATCTATATTAGTCTCTTTATTTATTATATGGATATTTTATTCATTTATTTTTATTATTCATGTTATTATTATTATATGTATATATATATATATTAAATTATTTTCATTTGATTTTTTTTACTATATTTTATTATTATTATTATATATATATTTCTTTAATATTTTACTTATAAGTCTAATATTACTATATATATATTGTAATTATCTTTATCTAGTCGTATATATTCTTTATACTTTTAATAGTTTATTTATATACATATTATTAAATATATATATTCTTAATTATTTTTATTTGATTATTTCTTTCTTTATGTAATATATCTTATAATTTTATATATTTATATAATTTTTTATTATTTTCATTTTTTATTCATTATTATTATATTATTATTTTTTTAAAAAAAACCTTGTGTCTTTATCATTATTATTATTAAACATTATATTATATATACTACTAACCTAGAGGGCCCATTTTTTATCTTATTTCTTACTAAATCCCCCACTTTCGATGAATTGGGAGGGTAGTTTTTCTATTTTTAAGTATTTGGTGTACATATATAGCTTATTTATTTTATTAATACTTTGATATATATATATATATATATATATATATATATATATTTCCTTTTTTCAAATATTACTATATATAATTATTACTTTACTATTTTTTTTCTTATCTTACTTATTTATTTTATTTTTCCCTTGTATCTTATTTGTTTTCTTTACCTTGTTTATCTAACACATTTCTCAATTTTTTTTTCAAATCAATCAAGGGTAAGTAATTAGGATCGAAACTTTACCTTTTAATTTAACTTGTCATTTTTCTTAATTAAGACAACTGGAAATTACGTAGTACCGAAAGGGCGGTTCAAGGGTGCTAATCCTTCCTTGACCGTAACCGACTCCCGAGCCCGACATATTTCTGGTAAGACACAGATCATGTAAGAAATAGGGTATCCGATCAACCCATTTATTTTTAAATAAATGATCGGTGGCGACTCCAATCCACATTTTTCAAGTCGAAGCCCAATTCCGGGGCCCAACCGAAAGACGGTTGCGACAGCTTGGCGACTCCGCTGGGGACCAGGTAAGTGAGTCAGGCTAAGGTAATCTCCAGTTATCTTTTTAACGAAAAGGGTAAGTTTAAATTTTAAGGTAATATTCCGATCCTTTTTACTTACTTTTGATTATATTTTCGAGTAAATAGTTGGACTAATCGTTTTCTCATGATTTCAGCCTTCAAAGTTTTTTTTCATCTAAGGCTCTATACCCGAGCTCCAATTCCTTTTAAGTGGGGGTGAAAGCGACGCGTTCGTGTGAATTTATTCACCGTGTGGGCCTAGCAAGTAGCCTTCGGGATACATATACCTTATGCCTTCGTGTGAATTTATTCTCCGTGTGGGCATAAGTGAATGTTTCCTCTCGAGTTTAACTTAGTCCACACAAACCTGTGATGGGTTTAGGACTAAGGGTCTGGCAAGCCCAAGGGGGCACCGGCAAGGAGAACTCGGGTACCGTTTTTTAAAACCTAAACCGGGAGACCATGGAGAAATAGTGCCTACCCCGAAACCACATTCCAAAACCTAGGATTGTTTTTTTACCTTAACCATGTCTTTTTGTGTTTTTTTCTTCCGTCATTTTTTTTGTTTGTTTTTATTTTTTACTAACATTTTTGCCTTTGTGTTTGTTTTCTAGCATTTGCATCATTAGAAGAGGCTATTGATCCCTAAAAAGCGTTTGTTATACACAAAATAATTCGAATTAATGGAAAAAGGTGTTGTAATACAAGAGATTGAAAACGCTGAGGCACGACTATGGTCCGAGAAGGTTCAGAAAGAGAAGGGAGACAGTCTTCAGGGGAACTATGTGTCAGAACTGGTTAGTTACGCCGCTGTCAGCCTGAAACAGAATAATCTCCAAGAGCTGCGAAACATTTGGGACAGTTGGAAGAATGACAGAAAGCAGAAGTTCAGCTAACGATATGGTGATATCGCCCTCTTGATCCATGTCAAGACTGATGAGCCCTTACTCCGAGCATTAATTCAATTCTGGAACCCGGGATATAGTTGCTTCACCTTTAACCGGGAAGACATGGTGCCTACTATCGAAGAGTATACTACTCTACTGCACTGCGAAAGCATCAAACTAGAGAGGGCATATATTAAACATATCAAGAGTCAGCCTTTCAAGAACGGACTGGCCAAGATTGCAGGGGTTGATGAAAAGTGGGTGACTGATCGACTCCGGCACAAAGGTAACGGGCAAGGAATTGAGTGGATCCACATAAGGCAACTAATGAAGGACCACCCTAATGAATGGAAGACTATAGACCTTTTTGCACTAGGTCTGTATGGCTTGATCATCTTTCCGAAGGTTTTGGGATGCATTGACGCAGCCGTAGTAGAATTATTTGAACAACTTCCAAGGCGAGTCAACCCAGCACCGACCATCTTAGCCGAGACCTTTCGGTCCCTTAATCATTGCAGAAGAACTGGTGGAGGAAGGTTCATTGGGTGTGTTCAACTCCTTCAAGTCTGGATTCACAGCCACTTCTGGAAGACTAGCAGGGTTGCCTACTGCCGATTTAGCACTACGTATTCACCTTTGAGAGAGTTCATCACCATGATAGGACATGAAGGCGCTTCAAAAGAGAAATGGATGAAAGTCTTCACTCATCTTCAGGACCGGGATATTACCTGGAGAGCCCCCTAGTTGTTCCTCAGTGATGTTCTTTTCAAGTGTGAGAATTCTGACACTATGACCCTATTTGGACTTTGAGGTGCAGTTGGGTATGCTCTGTTGTTGGCACTTAGACAGTATGGGGCACATCAGTTTGTCCCAACAACATATGGATTATCTATATCAGAGTTTATGTATCACGGTGACAGTTATAAAAAGATGATCAAAGAAGCAGTCGAGTCATGGAAGAAAGTATCTCGGATGGATGTCTAGAAGATTTAGTCCGAACATACCTTTTATTGTTTTTATCTCTCTTACAAGATAAAACATTTTTGTCTGAATAAGGATTATTTATAATAATGGACACTTTTCTGGATCAATGCCTCGAACATTTCATGCATTCTTGCATTTTGCATTTTTGCCTTTTTGCATTTTCATCTACATTTTAAGCATTTTCACAAACATGAAATTAAGTCGTGAAGGGCTCGATGAAGCGAATTTAACCACATGGAAGCAAGATTGTAACAGTAGGAGCCTGATCAGCTGATTGTAGGACAAAGCTTGCCAGGATGATCTAAGAAAAGAATCCCCATATCCTAAGGGCCACGATGTTAAAGCTGCTAGCTGTTACCATGTAAGAAGCCCCAAACATTCCTCTGAAACCTGTAAGGCGCTTGCCAAAGAAGGGGGCATGGCATATACCATTTGCAGTTAGAGGATTGTTTTGTTTGAACACGTCTTTGATCTTTCGCTTAATCTGTTAAATGATTGAATTTATGCTACTTTCTAAGGTGGAGCAATTGAACAAATTTTAATCTTTAGTTCTTCGAATATTAAATGAATTAAGGATTCTTTTAATTCTTCAAGAATTATAGATTTTTGACATATGACAAGATTAGACCTTTCTTGTCCTGTCTCAAACCCCCAAAATGAAATACCTTGATCAAAAAGACCAAATTTTGACATTACCTCCCTTTGAAATTCTTGAACATTGCCTTTACCTTTATGATACACCCATACCTTTCTTTGAGTCAATAAGATCACACCACTGTCTTTTTAGACTCAAAGTTAACATTTTTTTTACCATTAAAACCCAAGACATTGAGTTGTTCATTTGAACAGGAGCATTCTTCTAAATTGGGGCATCTCGCGGGGAGCCTGAACATTGAGACATGTTGGGAGCAAGGAGCAACAAAAAACAATTCATTCGAAATAATCCTATCATGCATTAATTACACTGTTTTCATGTGAATAGTATTAATCATGCAAATCTATCCCCCTGGGGATACCTCTTTTGTGAGGACTTCCATGTATGAAATGATGAACGGCTTTCTTTCTTTATCCCTTCACAACAGGAGAAAAAATATATCCATTGTGTCCCCTTTTGAGCCTATAGTATTTTTCTTCTGATTCAACCCTAACCAAAGATCACCCTCCACACTGGGGGGAAATATAGAAGAAATCTGCTCACATGAGTGAAGACATCAATCCAAAGGAGATACCACGAGGTGGACCAAATGACAAGTGCAAAGAT